TTCTGTTTGGAGAGCTTCTCAGTTAACAGTATGACACAGGCCCTTAGTCCAGACAACTTCTCAGTTAACAGCAAGGTACAATCCCAGGCACAGGAATCTCTGGCCTCAGAAGATGTGCTGCACTCTTTGCTTTTTGTTCTTACTGGTGATGAAATTCCCACTTTCTGACACTAAAACTTCTCAATTTAATAGAAACTAGCTGATCTCCTTGTGGATAGACTACCATGCCATATTAGCATGAGGAAGAGTCAGTTCATGCTGCCATTGATGATGGAGGAGGCAGGCCAAAGTGTTTGCAAGGAAGGCAGAGTTGAGGCAGCTGGATCAGATTAAAGACAGTGGTCTAAGGAAGCCAGATTTTTAGCAACAAGCTCACTGCACTACACAGGGATTTTTCAGTTCTTTGGAGTTTTTTTGTTTTATTTGTTTAATGATATATTTATTGAGGGAAATCTGGTGGCCTAGTGGGTAAGGATTTGCATTGCCAATCCAAAAGGCAAGCAATTCAAATCTACCAGCTCTTCTATGGGAGAATGATAGTCAGTCTTCTCCCATGGTGTTCACAGCCTCTGAAAACCCACAGAAGAGTCTCTGATGAGTGGTTTCCATCTCAGTGGCACATAACATATTATTGAGATTGTGTTTTGGGTGGCAATGGGGAAATGAAAATCTCTTCAACAGACGGTGCTGGCAAAACAGGATTCACATCTCACATCATATACAAAAATCACCTCAAGGTGGATAAGAGACCTGGGAGTAAAACTCAAAACCGTAAAGTTCATAAGAGATAAACTAGGATCAAGCTTAGAAGCTCTAGTCTACAGTATAAAGAGACTGCCAAATACAGCCAGAAATGTACAATCTGAAGAGGATAAAATTGATAAATAGGACCTTCTAAAAATTAAATCCTTGTGTTCATCAAAAACTTTTTCTAACATGGTGAAAAGAAAACCTACTGTCTGTGAGTAAACATTTGGTAATACCATCTCAGCCAAGAATCTCTTAATGAAAGTTTATAGAATACTCTTGGGCCTCCACAAGTAAAAGTCTGACAATCCAATTATAAAATGAGCAAAAGACATGGAAGTAATTTTCACAGAAGATATTCAATGGCCAACAGACACATGGAGGAATGCTCCAAATCACTGGCAATAAGAGAGAGGCAAATCAAAACCACAGTGAGATACCATCTCACTCCAGTAACAGTGGCAAGGTTTAACAGGGCAGCAAGTAACAAAAATTGGAGAAGATGTGGTGAGATAGGAACTCTTTTATATTAGTGGAATTGTACAACCACTCTGGAAAGCAGTTTGGCGCTTCCACAAAAAGCTGAACATAGAAATTCCATATTACACAACTATTCCATTACTTGGAATATACCCCATGAAAATAAGAACCGAGGCTCAAACGAAAACTTGTACACCAATGTTCACAGCAGCATTATTCACCATCATAAGAACATGGAAACAGCCCAGATGTCCAACCACAAATGAATGGACTGAGAAGTTGTACATTTGTACAATGGAATACTATGTAGTACACGGAAGCAATAATTTTATAAATTACTACCTAACTTTGGAGAAACTGGAGAGCATTAAGCTGAGTGAACTAACTCAGTCCCACAAGGACAAATACTGTATGATACCATTATTTTAGAATAAGTACAAGGATCCAAGATGAGGGGAAGGGTGGAAATAGGAGTGTTGAGGATGGAGGGGGGGGGAAGGGTTTTATTCATAGGGTTGCACAATTCATTGGGGGAGGGTAAAGGAAATGAGAAGCATCTTTTGTGAAAAAGAATATATTCAAATTTTGTAAATAAATCATAGTAATATTAAAAATAACAATAGGAAAAACTTTTTAAATTCACACAGATTGAAAGAAGATAGATATAGTTTAAATAGATAAAAATTTTAAGAATTGCCATTTTACTTAGAAGGTGGTTAATTGAACAGCTTTAAAGTTCAGTTCTGTTAAAATCCAGGTTTTACCACTTACTAGTATGAGTTTGAGCTGCTTATTTGTCTTTACTATGATTTTATTTTCCCTGTAAGTAAATATAAAGTGAGAAAAATGTCTACCTCATAAATGCAAGCAAGTTAAGATGCAATTGTTACTGTTATGTGCCATCAAGTTGGAATCAACTCATAGCTAACCCTCCCAGGTTTTCAGAGGCAGGAAATCCCATGGGAGGAGATTGCTCATCTTTCTCCCTCAGAGCTGCTGGTACATTCGAACCATGTGCCTTTGATTTGGCAGTGCAACTCTGTACCACCCAAGCTTCCTTAAGACTCAGTAGAGAACATTTAAAGCACCAAGCACCTGGAGCCTCAATATAGTATACCAGGCACCCTGTTGCCTCTTGAATTTGTTACTCTCTCTGCTTGGAAGCTCTTTTTCCAGATAACTCACTTTCAGACCTCATTCAGGTCTTTATTTGCCTTTCCAGGTATTCTGCCCTGTTTTCTCTGTAGTTAATCACATATATTACTTGTAATCTTATTTATTACTATTTTCATGCCTAATAATGGGTGACCTGTTTGTTTTCAAAAAAGAAGATGCTGATTTGGCTGTGCCCCATGTCAGAGGAAAAGTGAAGAAACACTAAATTTAAATTAAAGCATAAGACAGATATAAATAAATCCAAGTTACAAAATCACTGAATATTTTTAAATGATCCTTGGAGAGAAGATGTAATCTCAAAAGATAATTGAGGTTAATGGTTCTCAAAGTTCAATATATTAAAATCTCTTAAGAGCAACAGTTTAAAATACAGCATTGCAAGGCTCTAGCAAAAAACCTGATCTAGTGGGCCTTTGGTGGTGGTTGTTAGGTACTGTCGAGTCAAATACAACCCACAGTGACCCTGTGAACAACAGATCTAATACCTGTCCTATCCTGTGCCATCTTGATACTTCCTGACACAGTAGAACCCATTGCGACAGTTACCGTGTCAGGCTATCTGGTCATGGGTCTTCCTCTCCTTTGCCCACCTTTTCTAGCCTCATGTCCTTCTCCAGAGAATAGCCTTTCTTAACAACATGCCCAAAGTATATGAGGCGAAGCCTCATCATCTTTGTCTCCAAAGAACACACTGGTTGCACCCTCTCCAAGACATATTTGTTTCTCTGGCAGTCCGTGGGATGTTCAGTACTCTTCTCCATCATCACAGCTCAAAGGCATCAATTTTTCTTCTGTCATCCTTATTCATTGTCCAGCTCTCAGGTGGTAGGGCCCAAGAATTGTTCTCTTGTCACATACTTCCTTTTGATTTTTATGAAGATACCTCTTGAAAAAAAGTTGAAAAACTTTTTCATTTAATCAATACTCAGTCAAATTCTAGGAGGCCTAATGTGGTAATCTCATATGGTCCACTCCAACAGCACATCAGCAAAGAACTGCCAGAAGTCCAGGCTGGGTTTAGAAGGGGTCATGGTACTAGGGATATTATAGCTGATGTTAGATGGATCTTAGCTGAAAGCAGGGAATACCAGAGGAGGGTATATGTATGTTTCATTGACAATGCAAAGGCCTTTGACCGTATGGATCATAACAAACTGTGGCTGGCTCTGAGAAGAATGGGAATCCCAGAACACTTGATCGTGCTAATGCGAAACCTATGCTTGGACCAGGAGGCAGTCAGAACAGAGTAAGGGAACACTGAATGGTTCAAAATTGGAAAGGGTGTATGCCAGTGATGCATCCTATCTCCATACCTTTTCAACCTGTATGCAGAACAGATTATCCGG